TAAGGTCTGTCCCAGTTCTGACGTTCTCTGTTCTAAGGTCTGTCCCACCTCTGATATCCTACATTCTCTAAGGTCTGTCCCAGTTCTGACGTTCTCTGTTCTAAGGTCTGTCCCAGCTCTGACGTTCTCTGTTCTGAGGTCTCCTCCAGCTCTGACATCCTAGATTCTCTGTTTTAAGGTCTGTCCCAGTTCTAACGTTCTATACTCTATGTTCTAAATCAACTGAGCACCTCCCCCCCTTCTGCCCTGGGCCTGGGCCTGGGCCTCTAGGTGGGGCATGAAGGTGGAGATGTTTTTAAAGGAGTCAGGCGATGGTACAGTGCATGAAATAACTAAACATGCCTTCTGCCTGCGATCACCGCTCGTCAAAAGCGTGGAGATATGATTGGGAAAAAAGATGCACAACAATCTCTCTGGAAAGTTTTCCTGAACGCACAGGAACTTTTTGCCATCAATCCTTGTCTTAATTAAAGGCTACTTGGGGCTGGGGAAGGATTCCTCCGAGTCCAAAGCGCTGCCAGACCATAGGCTCTGCGCCCCCAGGAATGCCACCATCTTGGCTGAGGCCCCGGGGACTGGCAGAGAGTTGGAGGGAGCCGAGACAGTGCAGCCCGGGGGAGGGGGGAGCTTTTCAGAAGGGATAGGGCAGGAGGGAAGCTTCCTTTCCTTTTTCCCCTTCCTCCCTCCCTCACCAGCCCCACCTGTCCCAGACTCTGGTCTCCTCTGAAGAGCAAACAGCAAACACACTCAGAGGTTTGTTTTCCCAGTGGCCCTCTGCGCCTGAGCCTGATGCCTCCGGAAGAAACACTACCATTTCCCATGGGCTTAGGCGTAAGGGCTGAGCCTGGGGAAGCCGGGGCATGGGCTGGCTGCCATGTTCCGGCAGTTAGCTGGCCCCCCGCCCTCCCAAAACCACGGCGAGCTTGCTGGGCCTTCCAAGGCGACAACCATCTAATCTGATGGACTCATGTGGACTCAGGAACCCTCAGCAACGCAGACCAAGGTGAATCGGGGCATCTCGGAGCTACTGGCATGACTCTCTCAGAAGAGGAGAAAGGGTGCCAGGGGAGGTGAGTGGAGAGGTCCGGGAGCTCCCCTAAAGGCTCCACCGATTCCACCAGGCCCTGAGACTCATTCATTCATTCATTCACAGACATTCCCTGGCCCCCATTACGAACTGGCTCCAAAGTTGAGCAAAGTTGATATCCTGCCCGCAGGGAGCTTACACTTTAGCAGGCTGCTGCTGGCAGAAGGTTGGTCCTTCAAAGTCATTCTAGTACGGGGAAAACAGAAGTAGGGGCTCTTCATGTGACTTGGCTCATCACTTCTCCTGGGGGGAGGGGTTGCCTATCATTCCCCATCTCTGGATGGGGAAATGGATGGCCCCCAAAGGGGGATGGGAAAAACAACATCACCTTGGCCACAAGAAGGAGGAAAAGGACTGGAAGTGGAAACCCCCCAGATGGTGAATGCGTGAGTCAAAGCCACAATGACAAGTTCATACAGGGCCGGGGGAAAGAGGAAACGGAGGAGGAATGAAGAAGTCAGCTTGGTCCCCTCAAAGCATCGTTCTCATTGCATTCCGGTCCCGCGCGGGCCCTGCACCCCTGGGGCTGAAGGCCAACCCCTGGGAGGGCCCTGAGGGGCAGCCACGGGCAGCCACGAGCAGCCCCTCCCCCACCCAGAGTGGCGGCCCAGGGCTCCCCGCTGCCTGCCTCTGGAGCTGTTCTCCGGGCTCCTGATTCCCCTCTTTCACTTTCAGTTCTTCAAGGCCTCCTTGCATGTAATTAGCAGCACTTAGAACTAGGCCTCGTGGGACACAGAGATGCCCCAAACCTTACAGGTTAGAGAAGGTTCTCAGTCTGAACAATGCCAGCTTCCACAGTCTAGGCTGTCCAGAAGGCAGCTCTGACCATCTGTGTTCTATGTTCTAAGGTTCCCCCTGCCCAGTTCTGACATTTTACATACGAAGACCCCTTGTTAGCTCTGATTTCCTATTGGCTCCCCCTCCAATTGTCACCCCCCACTCCGAAAATGGGCTTTTGCGTCTTCAGGTTCAGTCCTGGGAGGCCCCCTGCCTTCTGGCCTGCTCCCTCGGGCCACAGACAACTGCCCCTTGCTCCCCTGGCCCCCCCCATTCCCTTTTCTGTGTCTCCTTCTCAACTCTCTGGGGATAAACAGAAAGAGGTCTGTAGTCCTAAACTTAACTCAGCATCAGCGGACTAGCCTACACACTCCCTGAGGGCAAGCCCTCTAGTCAGGTTTGAAATACATTTTTTCTGCTAGTTTTTGCTCTGACATTACCTACATTTTCCCACACGTCCCTCCCTCATCTTTACCTCCAGACAGTCATCCTCTACAACACAGAATAACAGGGAAAAACAGTTGGGCCGCACTCCCCTCTCATCCCCAAAGGCTGCCGATGTGGGACCCACTGTTCCCCCTTGGGGAGGAGCCCCCACTTCTGTCCAAGCTGGAGCATGGGCATTAAACCTCCTGCAGTTTTCCTTATCTTTCTTTGCACGAGGCAGAGCACAGAGTGCGTTCCAGACCTAACGTATGTCCCACTGTAGAGGACAGAAGTCCACAGAGGGGACTAGCCCGAGGGGGCCACAGTGGGGGGTGGGGAGAGGACCCAGGCCCCCTGACACCCAGCCTAGTGGGGCTGTCCTCTCCCAGTGGGGGAGGGCTAGAAAGTAACAGAGTAAGAACACTTGCCTTGGCTGGGAAGGCTGCCTGGGAAAAAGTCTTAAGGCAGTGGCTGACCTCCAGCAGCCGCAGGTCAGCCTGTGACTCAACCCCCTTGTGTCTGCCTGAGTCCCGGGATGCATGGCAGGAATGATTCTGAGAGATGGCTCTGGGATCTTCCTCTGGGCTCAGGTGACCCTAGTGGACAGTTCTCAGAGTGGGGGTAGGGGGCTATGGGAAGGGGCCAAAGAAGGTGGTGAGGAAGAACTCGGAACTTAATGGGGGGGGGGGTGCAGTGCGGTGCAGTGAGCAGAGAGAGCCAGGACTGGGAGCCAGGAACCCTGGGTTCTAGGCCTGAGGCACCACTGAGAACCTTAAAGTCCCATTTCCTGTCTGCGCCTGGAGAGGCACAAAGTTCTGCAAATGAGGTTATTTGGACAGGACTGCCTCGAAGGTCCCTTGGAGCTCCCAAGATCTGTCATCCCCGCCAATGAGCAGCTGGACGGTCTCCCAGGGCAGGAAGGGGCATTCACACCTCGGAGGCCGTCTGGTCCTCTAACAACCCTGGCAGGGGCCACGGTCCCCCGGGCTCCTCGGCGCCACCCCCCCCCAGCTCCCTTAACACCAGCTCATGTCCTCTGGAGCTCCAGCGCCTCCAAAGCCCTGTGACTATTCTTCCCATTTTCAAACGAGGAAACTGAGGCTTACGGAAGGGGAAAGAGCGCCAGGGGCACGCATCGAGGCGCTGAGCCTGGAACTGGACCCAGGTCTCGGCATTCTCTCACTCAGCCCTGGGACCCGGGGTGGGGCTGGGGAAGAGGCTAGGAGGGCGCCAGCCTGAGGATGGAGGGCTGCGGGCGGGGTATATGGGATGCGCATCTGGATTTCGCCCCGGCCCCACTTACCCAGCACGCTGCGCCCCGCACCGAGTCTGGCCCCTGCCCTAGCTCCTGGGCTCCTGGGTGCGATCTGCAGTCGCAAGAGGGAGGACCCAACTTCTGCTAGGCTACCCGGATAGCCTGAGGGCGGGGCGGGTCCTGGGGAGGGGAGGAGAACGGGGCGAGACCGCCCAGCCAACTTGGCTGGCTTCTGGGGAAGCTCTGCCCCTCCTCCGGGCCCCTGCCCTTTTTCTTCCCCCCCGCCCCCGCCCCGATTCGGCAGGCCCAGGGGCCCTGAATGCTGCAGCCACTGGCCCCAGGACTGGTTCCCTGACCCGCCTGGGGCCATGACAGTGGTCAGAGCTGGGAGGACACATCGAAGTCTAGAGGAGGAAATTGAGGCCCGGGGAATGAGGGGTGGGGAAAAGTGGCTGGCAGAGTCTGGTAGGGCTGAGGGATCGTGGAGGACACACCCAGAGCTAGGAGGGAGCTAGGAGGCGTCTACTTAACCCTGCTCTCACTTCGCCCCATTCAAACCACCAAGGAGTATTTATTAAGCACCTACTGTGTGCCAGGGATACCAAGGCCGAACATAAAGGGGAACCCCGTCCACAGGGAGCTACCCTTGCAAGGAAGGGGCCAGCAGAGACATATATACATATGGGAGACATAGACACACAGACACACAGACACACAGACACACAGACACACAGAGTGGCTAGAGCACCCCACCGGCCTGGAGTCAGGAAGACCTGAATTTCAATCCTGTCTCTAGACACTATGAGCTGTGTGACCTTGTAAAATGCACTGGAGAAGGAAATGGCAAACAGCTACAGTATCTTTGTCAAGAAAACCGGAAATGGGGTCACAGAGAGTCAGACAGGACTGAAACAACTGAAGAACGTATACATTAGACAAAATGACAGACAGCATAAATATGAAGTGAGTGAATACAAAGATATACAAAGTAGCTAAAGAGGGCAGAAGACTTCGGGAAGAAGGTGGTAGCTGGCTGCTGCCTTAAAGGGAAGGAGAAAGGGATGAACCCCAGGACTGGGGCGGGGGGGAGGAGGAATGGGGATGGACCTGTGAGTTTTGCCCTGTGGTTTGGGAGAAGGCATTCCCACTCAGGCCATAGCATCAGCCTGGCCAGGTAGTGAACTGCCCACCCCATTAGGAAGTCCAGACCGGACCAGGAGAACGAGTTGGCATCTATCTGCCCTTAGGGCACAGCTTCTTTCCCTCCTGTCACTGAACCTGACTTTCTAAAAAATGTTTTACAATGACTGGCTTCCTTTGTAATTGTATGTATTTTATTTTGTGCACTTAAGAAGGTTGTTCTGAGAAGCGGTCCATAGGCTGGACCAGAATGCCAAGCAGCAGGGCGACATGGTCAGCCCTGGGCTTCATAAAAATCCCTTTGGCCAACGTGAGGAGGCTGGATTGGCGTGGGGAGAGGCTGGAGGCAGGAACAATCTTTGGAAGGCCAGTAGAGAGGGGATAGGGCCTGGTGAAGGTGGGTGACTGTGAAGGAGGGCAGGAAGGACAAGCCTGGGGGGCCGTTTGGATCTGTGGAGGATAACTCTGGAGCTGTGAGCCTGGGAGAGGGACCCTCACCAGATCCAGGGGAGCTCTGAAGAGGAGACGCAGGTCAGAAGTGACTAGAAGGGGAGAGAGCTCGGATCTCTGGTAAAATCATCTCATCTTGGGTTCCACAGACCTCCAAGGCATCCACCATTAGATTTCAGGAGGTCCACGAACTTGAATGAAGGACTGAATTTTCATTAACCTCCAACTGAAACTGAGCATTTCCTTAGATGTAGGCAACAAACAGGCTTCACTGGACTCACAGCCAGAGGGTCCAAGACACATAGAAGGTTAAGAACCTCCTGCCTAGGCCAACCTTCTAATTCTACAAATGGAGAAAATAGGCCCAGAGGAGTCAGGGGACTAACCTCCAGTTGAGAAGTGGCTAGCTGAGCTTCTAAGCCAGATGCTCCAACTCCCAACCCCATGGGCTTGTGATTACGCTCCCTGGGGCTGCCCCCGTTATCCTTGGAGCTCAAGCACCTGCCACCCTGCCCTCCTCCCCAGGAGCCATGAGGGCCCCTCGTCTCCTGTTCCCTACTGCTCAGCTCCCTGGATCTTTACAATGTTACTGTATCAGTCATTCTCCTGGTTCTGATCCCCTCCTTCTGCGTCAGTTCATATAAGTCTTCCCAGGTTTCTCAGATACTATCCCCGCCCATCATGTCTAACAGCACAATAGTATTCTATCCCCTTCATGTGCCATGATGTTTGGCCATTTCCCAGTTCATGGGCATCCTCTCGATTTCCAATTCTTTGCTATCACAAATGGTTCTTTGTTTAGAATTAGTTGTGGCACTGCTGGGTCAAAGCGTATACATGGTGACCCTGATGCACCCTTGGGGTGCATTCATAAGTCTCTGACTCCTCACTACCACCCAGGGCGTGTGTGTGTGTGTGTGTGTGGCATGTGTCCTTCAGAGAGGACACTTGAGATGTGGAAAAGGGAAGTGACTCATAAGAAATAACGCAGCAAGTCATTAGGGGCAATCCAGGGTCTCCGGTTGAAATTCAAAGCTCTTTCATCAGACCACATCCTCTTTCCTCCTTGCCCTGCCCTGTCCTGTCCCCATTGCTGCTAACCACCAACCCAGAGGGATTTGGCTGGGTGTTATCACAGGACTGTCCTTGCCCCCAACCCCCACCTCCAAAGCGTCTGCCAAAGGCACGGTGTGGCAGAGGGGACCTGTGGCCCAGGTCTGGCTCTGCCACCGATTCCCTGCGGTACCTGGGCAAGTCACTTCAATTTTGGGGGGTTGTTACCAAGGAGTCAATCAACAGTCATGGTCTTTTCATAAGTGACTTGGACGGGAGAGGCATCTTAGAGATCTTCTGGTCTCCAACTCCCTCATTCTATAGTTTGGGAAAGTGAAGCCCGGAGAGTGACTCCCCAGGGTCACACAGCTGGTAACTAGCAGGTTGGGAGCCACGTCCTGAGCTCCGGGGTCAGGACCGTCCACTGAACCGAGACCAAGGCAAATTTCTGGCCTGGAGCTCCACGTCTGGGCACGATGCCCGGTGGAGGGGCCCAGTGCAGAGTGACTGCAGGAGCAGAGAAAGCCGGAACCCTGCAGATAACCCTGCAGGGGCTCTTCTCTAACCTGTCAGTATTATATAGCGTCTGCTGTGCCAGGCACTGTGCTAAGCCCTTTACAGTTATCTCCTTGGTTCTCATAACCCTGTGAGGTAGGTGCTTTTATCAGCTTCATTTGTAATTGGGGAAACTGAGGCAAATAGAGCTGAAGTGATTTGTCCAAGGTCAAACAGCTAGGAAGTTTTGAACTCGGGTCTTCCCAAAACCAGAACCAGCCTCTGTCCACTGCTCTAAAGATACCTCTTCTAGTCCTGCCATAGACAAGCACAGCGACCCGGCACCAATCTCTTAGACGGCTGGGCCTTCACTTCCTCTTCTAGCAACCAAGCAGGCGACCTCAATGGCTCCCTCAACTGAGATGACGGCCATCCAGGGCATCCTAAGCCTTGAAGTACTATCGAAAAGTCAGCAATGACGGTAACGATGACTCCCGTTAGCCAAGCCGTGGGAAACTGGGGCTCTGGCTCCCCTACAGGTGTGTCTGCCCATCCTTTGGCCAGTGTGGTACTGGTGGCCCCTCCATCTGTGGCCTCCACAAACTTGTCCACGGGCAGCTTGAGCAGCTAGGGGCCCCAGGTGATGGTTGGCTGTGACCTTTGAGCTGGGCTTAGGTATAAGGAGACCGTGACGCAGGATTACAATGCACACGACCCGACCTTTACTCCTGGTCACTGTTGACACAAGCTTGCCTGCCGCCCTGCTCTGAGGTCTGGTTACTGGACGTGCCCTAATTTGGGTTTTCAGTCTGGCCTCTAGGATGAGGGGCACTCGTCCTAGAGGACGGCTGAGCCCGCCGTCCCACACAGGGGCCTTGGACACTGATCCCGAGGCCTTCTCCCTCCACATCCCCCAAGCTCACTGTCACCCTCACTCCCCTCCAGCTGCTGCCCCACGTCCTGCTTCCCCTCTCCTCTCCCGACCCTGCCACCACCCTGCACCCGGTCTCCCCAGAAGCCCCGGCTAAATGCCCGCCTTCCCTAGGAAGCCTTTCTCGATGGCCCTGGATTCTGGTGCCTTCCCTCGGTTGGCCACCTCCTGTTCATTCTGGCCATAGCTGGTTTGAGCGTGGTTGTCTGTACTTTCTTCCCCACTAGACTGAGCGCCAAGAGGGCAGAGACTGATTTTTGCCTCTTGGAGCCAATGCCTGGCACATAGTAGGTGCTTAGTAAAGAAGTGCTTGTCAGGGCCTGGCTCGTGTGCTCCACTCTTCCAGAACTTTCCGGGTCCTCCCCTAGTTCCTCTGGCTGCTTTCCTCACCCTTGTGCACATCACATCCAGAATCACAGAATCAGGAGGTGGCAGGGTCCTGAGCGGCCTCCATGCTAGCTAGCATTTCCACAGCAGCAAAGCCCTTCACGAATATGAACCTCATTTTATTCTCACAACCACCCTGGGAGGTAGGTGCTGTTATTCCCACTTTACAGTTGAGGAAGCTGAGGCCAAGGTCAAATGACTCGTCCAGGATCACACAGCCAGTAAGTGCCTAGGGCTGGATTTGAATTCAGGTCTTCCTGAGTCCAGGACCAGCGCTCTATCGTCCCGGAGGACCCCTAGTTAGCTGCCAATCCAATTGTGCACAGAGAGAATTAATTCCCTACTAGAATACAGACATGGAGGTCCAGCCTATGCTAAAGACCTGCAAAGGGGGAAGCCCTGCTCCCTCTGGGCAGCTCCAACCGGCAGGACACTCTTCCTGACCTCCCGTTTGCACCTGCCCCTAATCCCACCATCCCCACTTCAAGCCCTTCAGCTACCTGAGGAGGCCCATGGGATGCCCGTACCTTCGTCTTCTCCAGGCCCAACGTTCTCCTTTCCCTGCCCCTACGGTGGATGGTCTTGGGGCCCTTCCCACCCCCCATCTTAGACTGCAGGCTCTGGGGGCGGCAGGCACCGAGTAGCACAGGGCTCTGTTCCCAGGGTCCAGGACCACAGAGTAGAGGCGTAACAGGCTTCTGGATGCGTTTGGTTTTCCCTACAGCCTGCACACCCTCCCTCTTTCCTCTACCTACCAACACCTCAGCCACCCTTCAAGGCCTTGCTGACGCTCCTCACTCCCTCACCCTCAGTGGCTCCCTTGCTCCGTCCTAGACGCTTCTTTTGCTTGGCACTTTGCCAGGCCTGCCTTACCTAGTCAGCGATTTTCCCCTGGTTCTGACCCTGGCTGGACCGAGCTGCTCCGGGCCAGCTCATGGCCAGGAGGTTCTGGGTCAGCAGGCACAACCAAAGGGTCACCCCAGGCCCCCAGCTGCTTGCCACCCCACCGGAGCTCGTCTGCTCTTCCTTCACTTATGACCTGTCCCTCTGGCAGAAGCTTCCCAATCCTGCTCTTAAATTAGACTTCACGGGTGTGGGGGACCCTCTCCTACCAATGCCGATGGGCCAGGAGCACAGACCCGCCCCAAGGCAGAGCCAGGCCTTGAACCTGGGCCGTGCTGACTGACCTGCCAAGGCTGCCCCTCCCCCCCATCTGAAAGTGCTCGGTAAGGGTGACCTTGAGGGAAAGCGCCCAGCCCCCTTCCTGCTTCCAGGCAGCAATGAGGAAGTAGCCGGGCCGAGCAGAAGGGGCGCCGCCAAGGACCGGAAGCCTGGCCTCTGGCCAATCTGAGAGCTCCCTCGAGGACTCCCGAAACGGGGATGTGGGGGCTGGGCAGGCGGCCGGAGGAGCCCCACCCCGTGACTCGACGCGTCCCTAGCTCCGCCACGTGAGACGCCCAGCACACGTTTCTAGGCTTTATTCCAGGCGCCCAGACGGAGGGCGGCTGCCACCCTCGGACCAGACTGGGGGTGAAGGGAGTGGCCGGGCCCGGCTTCACCGATACAGGAAGTCGGCCTGGATGTTGGCGGCAATCTCGGCCTCCCACTTGTCCCCGTTATTGAGAAGTTTCTCCTTGTTGTAAAGCAGTTCCTCGTGGGTCTCCGTGGAGAATTCAAAGTTGGGGCCCTAGGTAGGGGGATGGGGAGTTGTGACGCCCTGGGGATGTCCCCTGCCCTCCACGCCCTGTGGGGACTCCAGACCCGTCCCCCAACCCCCGGCCCCGGCCTGCTGACCTCCACGATGGCGTCCACGGGGCAGGCTTCCTGGCAGAAGCCGCAGTAGATGCATTTGGTCATATCGATGTCGTAGCGGGTTGTCCTCCGGCTGCCGTCCGCCCTGGGCTGGGCCTCGATGGTGATGGCCTGCAGAAGGGATGGGTCAGCAGCAGAGCTCCCGCCTCCCTCCACCACAATCCGGACAGCGCTCGCCTCTTGCACACGGGTGCCTCACCTGGGCCGGGCAGACCGCCTCACAGAGTTTGCAGGCAATACACCGCTCCTCCCCCGAAGGGTAGCGCCTCAAGGCGTGCTCCCCTCGAAAGCGCGGACTCAGAGGGCCCTTCTCAAAGGGATAGTTGATGGTGGCGGGTTCCCGGAACAGGTAACTCAGAGTCATTGCCAAGCCTACAAAAAAGGCAGAGGGTCCCCAGGGAGGCCATCTCCCCCCGCCCCCGGGAGGGCCTCCTCAGCTGCCCCCCAGCACCTGCACGCACCTCGGAAGAGCTCCGTCCACATCAGGGTCTGGGCTGCCCGGTCAGTCACAGACTTCATGTCCGTGACAGGCTCCTTCACATTCACATACTCTGGAAGGAAGGCACGTCAGCTTGTTAGGGAAGGATGGGCGGAGGCAGGACTCAGCGCTAAGCCACCTCAGACACAAAAAGACTCCCCAGAATGAGGCCCCTTGACCCTAATGTGAAGGACTGTGGCGTCCCTGGTCACCCACAAAACCCGCTGGTTCAATCTACTTTACTAAGGAAAGTGAACAAAGGCATCTTTAGCAAAATTTCTTTTTTATCAAAACCTCAGTTCACCAGAAAAATAAATCAACTGAATGATCAGCAAATAGGGTTTCTCAACAAGCTAGGCTCACTGTCCTGAATCGCCCCTGCCTCACCACAGCATCAACTGTCTTAAGGATATACCGGACATACCTCAAAGGGGTCGGGATGGGGTCACCTGCTGAGCGAGGTGCTAGGACAGAGCCCTCAATAAATAACAGGACTGCAAGATTTCTCCTAATTAAAGATTTAGGATAGAATGGTTCTGCCCAACTCAGGGCAGGGGACCCAGGCCTGAAGGCAGAGAGCCAGCAAAATGGGCTGACTGATCTGGCATGCTGGGTCTTCTCTCCAGAGCATCTGGTGTGCACACATCGGGTCACCTTCCCTCTCCGGGGTGTCTGACACCAGCAGCTCTCCCTCATTCTCAGGGGGGTCTGACGCACGTGGGGTCTCCCTCCGGGTCCCTGTCTCTTGCCATTCCCTCAGGGCTGAGCCAGCACAAGGCGAGGCACCCCATCTCTGCTCAGCCACATCCTGAGTCCCAAATGCAAGAACCCGGGAGACGTGGGACTGCTGCACCGGAGAGGAAGAGGGTGGTGCAGGACCTAGCTCCTCCAGGCCCACGGTTTGTGTTTGTGAACCTGAAAGCAGCAGCTAGCGGAACTCTCCGACTGCAAGGCGCCTGAGGGCAGGGACCGTTGTCCTGGCTGGACCAGAGAAAGTGGGTCTGTGAGGGTCCTTGGAGACCAGCCAGGCCAGCGCCATCACCCTCCGGAAGACGGAGCTCAAGGCTGGAGAAGGAGCTTCGCCAAGGCCCCAGAAGGGATCTGGGGCAGTGCAGGGATGCTAGCCGAGGTCCTCGGATGCCTGCTACCTGTTTTCCTGGGATGCCCGCCATCCTGGGACAATGCTAGCTTGCATCTTGTGCCCGGTGAGAGGTGTGGCCCAAGTCTAGCATCCAATGCTGTGTCTAGAGGTCTCTGCCAGAGGACACACTGGGCAGCGGCAGGCTTCTACTCATGAAGGGCACTGGGCTAAGAAGGTGCCTAGGCCTTCTTCCTCAACAGCAGGAGAGCAAAGCCTGGGGACCTGCCGGGGGCATGGGAGGAGCAGGGCAGAGCCCAGGGGCCTGGTCTAGAGGACCCCTCTGACACTTACGGGCTCCCCTCCCTCCGGCCCTGAGCAAGTCGCCCCACGTCTCTGAGCACCGGCTTCCTCATCTGCTCCCAAAAGCACTAACAATATCGGCACCAGGAGCCACCCACGAGAGGTTTGGGGAAGCACCCCACGAAGGCTCCAGAAATGGGACCGGCTCCTAGGACCCCTCTTTGCTCGGGCGCCAGGCGCACGGCGGATGCGGCAGAGCCCATCCTGAACCTCAGCAGCATCTCCTCCATTTATGCCCTGAGTGGACAAAAGGACAAAAGGAAACCCTGGACCATTCTGGGTGGGCTGAGTTAGAGGTCAAAGGTCTTCCAGGCAGAGTGGGGAGAGAAACACTGCTGTCTGAGGACCAACCCCGGGATACTCACTGTAGGAAGAGGAGGAGGACGGACTGCTGTGCAGACCTCTGGCCAGGCCTCGGCAACTGCCTGGTCCTAGAAGAAGAGGCAGAAGGATTACCTGGTCCCAGTGCCAAGAGCCTCCCATCCCCCTCCCCAACCCCTGTGCCGCGGCTGGGCGCTGCCTACCTGTGCCTGCCACCCGGCAAAGGACACGCAGCAGAGCCATGTTTGGGCTGCTCATCTGGGGAGAGGAGCGGGAGCCCCGGTCAACAGAAGGTCCAGCCTCCCCTCCCCCGCAGGAGCCCGGAGCCCCAGCTTCCACGTGGCTCCCCTTCAGGCCTGCTCTACACTGCCCCCCCACCCACTCTGCGGAGCCTCCGTTCATTCACTCACTCGTTCATTCCTTCACTCACTCTTTCCTTCATTTATTCACCCATTCCTTCACTCACTCATTCATTTACTCATTTGTTCGTTCACTCGTTCACTCGTTCCTTCACTTAGCCATTCACTCACTTGTTCATTCGTTCCTTCATTCATTCATTTACTCGCTTGTTCGTTCATTCCTTCACTCACTCGTTCCTTCATTTATTCACCCATTCCTTTACTCGTTCATTCATTTATTCATTCGTTCGTTCACTCATTTCTTCACTTCGCCATTCACTCACTCGTTCACTCATTCCTTCACTCGTTCAATCCTTCACTCACTGGTTCCTTCATTTATTCCCCCATTCCTTCACTCATTCATTTACTCATTTGTTCGTTCACTCATTCCTTCACTTAGCCATTCACTCACTTGTTCATTCATTCCTTCACTCGTTCCTTCATTTATTCACTCGTTCCTTCACTCATTCATTGATTCACTCACCCATTCCTTCACTCGTTCCTTCATTTACTCACTCGTTCGTTCACTCCTT